CGGGCTCAGGCAATTCACTCACCTCAGCCTCCCAAAGCGTGGGATTACAGGCTGAGCCACCGAGCCCGGCCCGTATAATACTCTTATTGCAATGACTGTGAATAAATACAGTGTGCTCTATGACTTCAGAAACCTGGTGTTTAACCTCTTCCATTTCATCCCTTCCTTAACAACTAGAAGCATCTCAGAGTCACCTGACTTCATTCAATACCCCTACAATTAATCCCTCTCATCTTTTACCAAACAATGAACAAGATTCTAGTCATAAGGGTACCTCCAAACAGCTCCAAACTATCAGCAAACCCATTAAACACAAAATGGTCATTAGAGAAGCCACAAACAAGCATTCCCAGGACCCAAATGACCTGAAAACTAATGAGGACAAAAAAGGAATCTAATCAGGAACTGATGCAGATTTTACATGGAGCAAAGAACATTCTGAGAGTCAGTGCCTCTGTCAAAAACAGTTGGCTTGTGGGGTTTCGTTTCTGAACAAAAGCAATTATTTACATGAAGTTTAAGCTTCATGACAAAGGAAAAGCAACACCATTCAAGGTGCTATTGAAGAACTGCTGCATGTGTCAAGTAGCAGACCAAAATAATGGAGACATCCCGCTGGAACAAGTGAAAGAATATAACAAAGACCCTTTATAATGCTCTATTCACAAAGAGAGAACCAAAGTAGATATTCTTGAGTGTCAGCTCACCAGGGGGAGTGGAATCAGAACCCTAATCTGCTCTGAAAGAGAGTGGGAATCTTTTGTTTCTGAGGGTGCAATCATCTGATACTTTATTGTTTTAGGGTGAGAAAGGTTATTATTACTTACAAGGCTGGGAGGAGGGGGGCGTTTGGTGGGAGATAATGGGTCTCCAGACGTATCCACAATTAAAAAAAAAAAAAAAATGAGAGGCTAAATGAAGTCACCAGTCCACTAGGAATAATTTGTATCTTCAGTCACAAAATGCTATCCTAACATGAAAATTCAGATGGCATCGACCACAAACTAAAGCAGTCAATAAATCAAAAACAACCATGGTTGTGTTTTTATTATTAACCCTTCTGCAGAACATGTATGTAAGTATATGTACACATTCTGCATCCATCAGCTATTTTATCAAAAAACATGTAAACGCATAAGCAGCAAATGCAATCATTATTTTTCTAAGAAATAACATACTATTACAGCCATATCTTACAATAAAATAACATAAAAATGACATTTTAAGCAGACTTCCTCCTCAATTTATTAAGGTTTTTTAAAAACATAAGATACAAAAACATTGCTGTAGGATTTCATTTTATGTGTATGGGTTTACGGTATGACGAATAAACTACTTTAAATATATTGATTGCCAGTTATAATCTAAATTATTCATGAAAAAATCTGACATTTCACCCATTCAGTGAGCAACTATGAGCTCTTGCTGTCATGAGAGGATTGTGGTAGGAACCACAGGGAATAAACAAAAGATCTGCGGTGTACCCAAGAAATGCAATTCCCAAATTCAATTTTAAATCATTTGTTTGGAAGACAGAGTGAAACTGGCCAAGGAAATACTGCTAAAATGGTGGTCAGGTTCCCAGGCTGTCTCAATAATGGCTGTTTCATCCATAAGGTGGTTAGTTCTTGTAGCATTTGTTTGAGTTTGGGGCCTGAAAACAAAGGAAGGGCCTACCAGAGGAAAGATAATGAGTTTCCTCTGGTTTGCAAGGCAAGCATTTGGTGCCATAATTTTACTACAGGTCAATATTTAGTACAGCTTGTAGTACATATTTTTAAAGGTTTATAATTCTAGTGGAAAGCACATATTTTGTAGAAGGAGCACATCAGTAATTTTTGATACATTTTCAGGGATATTACAGCCTGTGACAGCCCCTAAAATAAGATAGATAACCCAAAATTGGACTAATCCAAGCCCTTCATATTGAAATTAAAATATACTCCTCAGAGTTTCAAAGCATAGTTTTTGGTTTTTAGATATTCCTCGAGAGGATTATTTTATGAGTGTTTATGACTGATAAAAAGTGGTTGCCCAAAAGCTTTGGTTATAAACCAAGCAAGCAAACATGCAATTATAACTTTGGACAGACAATTTAGGCAATGCACTCCAGTCTGGGTGACAGAGTGAGACTCCAACTAAAAAAAAAAAAAAAAAAGATATAAATACAAATGTTGACCAGGTGTGGTGGCTCATGCCTATAATCTCAGCATTTTGGGAGGTGGAGGCAAGAAGACTGCCTGAATCCTGGGGTTCGAGACCAGCCTGGGCAACTTGGCAAGACCTCGTCTCTACAATTTAAAAAAAAAAAAAAAAAATTAGCCAGCCATGGTGGCATGCACCTGCAGTTTCAGCTACATGGAAGGCTGAG